AAAACATATATTTTATCTATAAACTATTATCTGCCTGAACTGCCACAGACAGAAGAGTATAGTTTCTAGTTGTAGTAAAAATTATACTTACCTGTTGGACACCACTATAAATCTGTAAAGGATCTCTGTAGCCATGTCATTGTTATAGTACTGCTGTTAAGAAGGCCATGGTACTGTAACATTATAAAAAACAGGAAAAAGCAACATGTGTATTTTTATTTTATTATTTATTTTAGTACTATATATAAATTAAACAAATTTATACAATTATATTGAATGAGAAAACAATAATACATAATTATTAAAAATAATAAACCATTGATAATTTTAATATTAGTTTCACATTAGTGATTATTGCATCTGTACTTCTACAATATTTGGTATAGCATTTAATTTTACAATTAGTTCTGTTACTAGTTCATTGGCTTGTTCAATTGCTTGTTTTTGAATTATTAGATTATTTTTAGTCATGTATAGTTAGGGTTAGTAAATCAAACCATAGTTAGGTTATATGTATCAGGATTTTTTATGAACTTTTTTAATAATTTTGGAATTTTTATAATCATACCTTTTTTAATACAACTAAAGGTACACTTTTTGAGCGAAAAATACAATTTTTATGCTATATTTTTTTTTAATCAATAGCTTTTATTATGCTCTGTTCAACAATAATCTCAGTCTTACAAATTTTAATAGCTTTGTGTTTATCAAATTTAGTTAAAGAATTTACTACTTGTAAAATAGAATAAACTAAAAAAATCTCTCTATTATATTAAATTATATAAAGTACTTTATTTTATAAAAAAAATTAAATTAGTAATTATTATACTAGTTCAAAAAAAAACTGTACTAAAAGTTGTTATTATCCGCAGTAATTTTGGAAATTTTTATCAATTTAGTTCTTCAATGAATAGTGCTATCACTTTTTTATTTTTTGTTTTTTTGGTAGAACTATTAGAACTTGAAGAAGTGTTGCTATATAGAGATAATACTTTGTTTAAAATAATAGGTACTTTATTTAAAATTGTAGAAGCTTTATTCGATATAGCTATAATAACCTTGATATTGGAATTGTTAATATATACAGTTTTATTTAGAATAATATTTTCTGTAACACTATTATAAAAATCTTAAATCTCTATAGAGCTAGTAGATAATTTGATCTATATAGTGAATATTTTATTTGCAATATGTAAAGCAGTCTTTTCAACAGCAAAATTATGGCATGGTTAATCTTTATGTTCAGTAGATATTTCATTTTGACTTTGGTTTATAGAAAGATTAAAAACACTTTCATATAAAGAAAAAAAAGCACTTTCATATGAAGGACCAGTGATATATTTATTTGAAAAATCAATATTTTCATCTAAATAACCAGAACTATCTGGACTAAAATCATATTTATATGAATTACTGGTAGATTCATCAGGGTCTTCTAAATTATTAATTCGTCTTCTTTTTGACAAGGTACCTATGGTAGTATTTTTAGTATCTTCAGTCTGATCTCGTTTGACCCTTATTTTTCTGCTTTCACACTTTATACAAAAAAAAAAAAAAAAATTAGATAAACTATTTTATAGTAAGCAAAATCAAGTGACAATTAAAATCAAGATGATAATATTCAGAATACAAACAATAGCTAACTTGCAAAAGCTAACATATCAAGAGGAGCCATCTAGTATACTAAGACGAGTAAATAAATACGTCTTGAGCATTTTAGTATCAACTGCAGCTGATAGTTAAAACTTAAGAAGTCTAACAATTCTTTAGCATATATATAAGAAAATATATATGCGTCCTTATTTAAACTCCATAGTCTTTATAATTAATAAAAAAACTCGTATTGAAGAATCTAGCAAATTATATGTACTTGTCATACTTATTCTTTTATTTGCTATACAGGCTTTAACAACTATATAGACCTCTGTTGACATCTCTGAGTTCTCTGAAATAATGATCAATATTGTATAAAATAAATAGTGGGCAGATTTATAGTTTACATCATCAAATCTTTCATAAACCCAATCCATATAATGTTCAAAGGACTATTGTTTGTAAGAATAAGATTCAAAATAATAAATCTTCCTCTTCAAAACTTTAGATAGAAGAATGAGTTAGAATGAGCTGGTTAACCAAGCTAGACATATTTATTTATATTTAATGAACGTATAAACAGCCATATTTCTGTATTCAGAAAACTTCTAGATATATTTTGTTTTGGGAAGACAAAACTATAGTTAGAAAAGTTTGGCATATTTGGTTACTGTTATTTATAATTGTTTGTGTACCCACGTGATGTTTTATATGTCGATAACTACCCCAGGAGCAAAACCTACATTTTTGATACTCCTGCACCTACTTTTTTGATACACCTAAACATACCCTAAAATTAACCAATAGGATTGCACATTATTATAGTAAAAATTAGTAAAAAAATATATAAATTTTAGGGTATGTTTAGGTGTATCAAAAAAGTAGGTGCAGGAGTATCAAAAATGTAGGTTTTGCACCCCAGGATCGCCAGAAAAATTTCTATGTAATTTTTACTGTCACGTGATGATCGACGAAAACAAGCCAATAATGAACCACAATTTAGTATAACGTCACACCTAAATAATGTTTGATTTTATTTTAGTTGTGCCTAGTAATTGTGTCAAATTTGCATACCACGCATTTCTTAAGGTGATGAAAGTGACAAGTGGAATAATATCAAGTGCTAATATTCGTTAGTGCTCAATGGTTCTAATTCATTTGTCGGATACCACTATAAAACAATATCTTTGCCGGATTTATAAATATTTACTATTAATGATAAAAATTTTTTAATTATTTTAAATAAAAAAAGAATACTTTTAGCTATATTTTTTTTTGGTTGACATGTTCCATTCTGATGAGTTCGACAAATTACAGCATAAAAATCGTGAATAGAACAAATTTGCGTAATATAATTATAGTTTTAGTTGTAATATTTAGTTCTTCAAATATATATTTACTACGTATAGTAATGGTAAAAATAATTACGTATTCTTAATTATTATCTAAACGTGTATATGAAAATAATGCAAATCTATTATATATAGGAAAGATATATTATTTTTTTGTAATTGGCTAATTTTTAATTTTGCGTAACTATTATTTTATTTTTGCAAATAAATAATATATTTTAGTTGCGGAATAAATAATTATTTTTAAATATTGCAAATAAACTTATTTATTAATTGCAATGCGCAATAAAATAAAAAATTGAATTTCTGACACTGCACGAACTCTAACATGAATGTACCTTTTTATTCGAAGACTATTGACCTCGGATTACATGACCAGAAAATCGATCCTATGCCCTGTCAAATTTGCGCAGATGCCCATTATTTCGAAAATTTATGGGATTAAGATATTACTAGATTTAAGACAAATTAAAGTTTAATAGAGCAGGTCAGTGTAAGAAATAACAATATACAATATTTAGGATTCTAGAATCGATTTACATCTCTAAATGTTTGGTTGTGCTAAATTCGCGAATAAGGATTAATTCGTAAAAAATATTCAAAGGATAGCTGTACCGATATGGAATATCTCTCCTGATTTATAGAGTCAAGCTTTTACTGTAATAGTTTGTGACATTGAATGGCATTTAACAAAATCCAAAGAAAATTACACCTTCAATGATATTTTTATGATGATAAAAAATTTTTTGTCATATCGAAAATATTTTTTATGAAATTAGAACACAAAGTGCTCTCACAATTGGCCCTGTTAGTTATCTGAATATCATATGAATTTGTATTCAATAAACATCTCATTTAGCGAAGAATATGTTATTCTTGGAAAACTAAGGTTCGTGATTCACTGAATAAACTTTGAAGAATACTCAAAGAATCTAAACTCTGTTCCTTACATTGTCTTATAGGTAAATTTTTTTGCGAATTTTTAAGCAAATACATTCTTCTAATAGATACAGTATAAATATAAAATATAACGTGTCGGTCGGGAAGTTTTGGAATGGAAGTTGGTACGAGGTTAACTATATATAATTCTTGTGGTAGAATAATCAATTACATAATAAATATTTTGCATCCAATAAAAAACAAAAACAATAAAAAGTCAAATGGAGGACATCACAATGCTATACAAAATGATAAAATTTTAAATATAACTTTAAAAATTTCAAGATAAAAATCATCTAGAAAATTTAGGCATTAGTAACCAGTTGGACAAGCACCAGAACTATCACAAGTTATGGCTCGAGTTAGGGTTTTGGTAAGATTACAACATTTACCCCCACAACATATTTGTCTTGGACTACAACACAAACTATTTCCGCAGCACGTTTCTGCGGGGCCACAACAAGTGCTTCCGCAGCATCTTGATGCGTTTTCACAACAACGATTTTGACCTTGGCAGCATTGTCCCGCGGCTCCACAGCAAGTGTTTCCGCAGCACGTTTCTGCGGGGCCACAACAAGTGCTTCCGCAGCATCTTGATGCGTTTTCACAACAACGATTTTGACCTTGGCAGCATTGTCCCGCGGCTCCACAGCAAGTGTTTCCGCAGCAACTTTCCGCGGCTCCACAGCAAGTGTTTCCGCAGCATGTTTCCACGATTCCACAAGGAGGATTGCAAGACTGTTTCTTCACCAAAACCATTGAATTATCAGTAGACTCATGATTAATGTTGGCTACTATGATAGCAATAAAGTTATTGATAACGATGATTGTAAAAATAAGAATTAATACGAATTTTTTCATGGTGTTGTAAGATTAGAATCGTTTATTTGATTGAGATAGTATTTATAACAAAAAATTCAAGTAATCTACTGCTATTTAAAGAAACGCATTTGGTTGATCAGAATTATCGCTACGTAAATGAGTGGGAAAGTGCCAACTATCCCTTAAGGGAAAAACATTGCCGAATAGGTCTTTTTTTTCTGACGTTCATATCGAGTAATCTACTACTATTTAAAGAAACGCATCTGGTTGATCAGAATTATCGCTATATGAATGAGAAAACCTATAAATCGATTTCCGACATCTTTATTAACGCCAATTAGAAATTCAATCCCTTAAGGTAAAAAATTGCCGAATAGGTTTTTTTCTGGCGTCGTCCATACAACGTTTACGCATAAGTATTTGGACAATTAACGTGGTATATAACTGAAACTGAAACCTGGACCTACTTTTATATGAAATTTTAAAAAATTTTTGGATGCTTTTTTTTTTTAGAGTTATAATTGATAATTAAAAATATATGTAATTTTAGTAGGGCTTATATTTTCAAATCGAGACTCCAAATTTGAGCATCAGCACAATTAATATTCGGTTGTAACTTTGATATTAACGATAATGCAGTAATGGACAAATAATGACCAAAGGAGCATTAAAGATTTGGTTATAGCTAGTTGTGAGAGTTGATAAATTATATTTTAAAAATCATTTAATTTTCGAAAAAATAATTCTATTTACTTTTGCAAAAGATATAATCGAAATAATCTATGATAATATTACTATATTACACAATCGCCTGATTTAATTTCTTAACATCGGTACGTGCACACGACATGCTAATAGCAGACGCACTGCTTTAATTATGAACATTTTATATCCTGAAAATAAAATGTCACAATAATGAACATCGTGAAGGCTTTAGGGAAGGGGATGACAGGTTTAAATTATTATAGATAAACCATAACCTAACTAGAAATATAAAAAGAGGCATGCATAATAAAGAGTAGGTAATACTACGTACTATATCTAGATAGTTATGTTTTTAAGCATATACGTATAAACATGTGTACTAGGGAAAACCTTGTGCTCATGCTAGGTTAATCTGAAAGTAATCTAATACTGTAAAGTCTATCTAAGAAATTATAAGTGTATAATACCTTGGTATAAATATAGGTTGTTTTGAGCAAAATTTAACACATGGTGTATAAATATTAAATCGATGTACTACCTAACATACTTGAAAACGGTAGGCTGGAGCCTTGATCACTAGGTCTTTTATAATTTGGAATTAAATTTTATAAATAGTATTAAATTTTATGAATTGCTGTTGCTTTTAAGATTACATTTATATATAATAAATTCACAAAAGAAAGCAGTCTTTGTTCTTCCATCGGTAGTTTTTCAGTATCCAACAATTGATCCTAATTAAAGGTTTTCAATTTTGCCAAATCATTTTTTCTATATATGTATATGCAGGGTGTACATTCGAAACTAGATTTTGTCGACTTAATACTATAAATAGTTATTTGACCTTTTTGTAACTTGTAACGTCTTCGAACATTGGATCTACGGCAAAATTACCTTGCAATTCCAGGAAAGGAAATTTTCA